AATCCCCCACATCTTTCAATAGCAAGGCACTGGGAATTGACAGTGCCAAGGAATTTGCGGATCCTGATAGAGCAGGTGAAGAAACCTCAATAATGAAACCAGATGCCTTCAGGTCCAGGATAAATCCCTTGATCCAGAGGAGTTCCAGGCTCAGGTCCTCTCTGATTTTCAGCGCTGCCAAATTAGATCAGCCCAACACCACAATAGAAAAGGTGCAGATGATCCAAAAAGAGCAGATGTCCAGCGAGGTGACGAAGGACAATGAAACCATCAAGACGGCCACCTCCTCCAAAGTGGCCGAGCTGCTGGAGAAGTACAAAGCCGTGGGCAAGGACACGGAGCGGGGCACAGTCACCCACACCAAAGCTGTTTCAGGTTACCTACAGGAGGAATCACAGAACACGGAGAAGAAATGTACCAAATCCGTGCAATATAAGATTCTGGAGAGCAGGGTGCTGGACTCCAAAGACTCCTGCAGTACTTACAAAATGCACGGAGATTTGGACAGAGCATTTGGAATGGCCTCATCCACCCCCCAGCTTGGGGATGCATTGAGTAAAGATCCCCTGGCACATCTTGGCACTAAAGTGGACAAGCTGTCATCTCGGTTTTACCCGATTGAGAACAAACCTGCTCTTCCAGAGAAGGAGAGTCTGATATATGTAGGAGACACTCAGAAATTGGCTCTTCCAGAAAAGAAGGACAGGGTGACCTTCAGAGAAGACACTCCAAAGTTAGTCAACACAGAAATGAAGAAACCACAAGTTAGGACAAGTACCACATCTTCAGCTCTGGAAAGCCTGTCTAGGAGTCCAGGGTCTGACAGCTCTCTCAATAAATCTGAGGAAGACTGTTCAAAACAAGAGCAAAATCCCATGGAATTTTTAAGAAAAGGGTCACTACGACTGAAGCAGCTTTTAAACCCGAAAGGTGAAAAGAAATTTGAGGAGGAACCCGCTTCTGAGAGTGGAAAATGTGACAAGCAGGCAGTGGTGCTCAAACGATCGTCCATAGGGGACTGCCAGGAAGCAATGGAAGAAGAAAAATCCCACAAATTTGCAGCACCGCTCCCCCCCAAGAGCAGCCAGACAACACAGGGGAGGTTCCCTTCCTCCACAGCCAATATCCTGTACAGCAGCAACCTGCGTGACGACACCAAGGTGATCCTGGAGCAGATCTCTGCCAACAGCCAGAAGAACAGAGCCGAGCTGGCCAAGCAGCTGCCATCCACCAGCAACCCTGACCTCTCCAGGTCAACCATGAGCTTGGAAAGAAAAGGAGAGAAGGAGAAAAGCTGCAACATCCACAGGTCGGAGAGCTTTGGGAGCCAGAAACGGAACTTCCAGCGGCAGCCGTCGGAGGACAGAGACACCCTCCTGAAAAAAATGGAGAACATGCGGAAGGAGAAGCGAGTCTACAGCAGGTTCGAGGTGTTCTGCAAGAAGGACGAACACATGAGTCCGAGTGAAGAGGAATATGACACAGATGCCAAAGACAAGAAGATGGGAAAATTCATGCCCAAAATCCTGGGGACCTTCAAGACCAAAAAATGATCGTAAAAATCCTATTTAATTCCATTTTATCACTGACTGTCACAAGGGAAGGAGGAAGAAACTTGTTTATGATGGCTACAAACCCCACAGGCAATGCTCTTCTGAGTAAGTGAGCAGAAAAATGTCCAGCATGAGCCTCCCACGGCACAGTTTGCTCCATAAAGTCAGGTGGTATCAAACAACCTTATTACACTATGTTCCAAATAAAATTATTGAACTGCCAACATGCTTAAAACACAGAAGTCTCTTTTTTTAAAAGAAGTCTCTGTTCTGTTACTGTACAAAACTGAAAGTCTCTGTTACACCCAAGGAATATTTTTCAGCTGACAAAACAATTCTACTTTCGGAAGAAAAGAATTAAAAATAGAAAATTCAATACTTGGGTTCAGGCCAGGAAAGATAAATACACACAGAGACACACATACATTAACTGGAAAAAGTGTTTAAAGCCTGTTGTTTCTCAGGTACAGTTATCCTTTCTCTGTAGCTCACAATGAATCAGTCACAGGAGGCATCTTTTTGAAGGTTTACAGACCAAAAAAATATTGTAACCAACTTTTTGCCCTAATCTGTGACTCTGGGCTTGTCCAGCGGCACAGGCCCAGCTTTTGTATTTACCAGTTCCTGAGCCTGTGGGATCTGGTTTGCTTGGGGTTTGTTCTCCTGTGTGTAGGGAATTATTTGCTTTAAGGACTCAGTTAAAGGAGCAGCTGAAAAGGCCATAAAAAGGACATTGAAGTGCTATTGATGGAGATGGGCCTGGCTTTAGGAGGCCTTTTCGGCTTGAGGAAACAGCCTCAAGTTGTGCCAGGGGAGGTTTAGGTTGGATATTTGGAAAATTCCTTCCAAAACCCTGGAAAGGATTGTCCAGTCCTGACATAGGCTGCCCACGGCACTAGTGGAGTCTTTGAAACTTGAACTTTTCCTGGGATGCCAGCTCCCAGGGCAGCAGGCTGGACTTACATATTTATAACAGTTAATGATTATTTTACTGTTTGCTGAAAACCTTGGGAACTGGATGTGCAGAACGACTGTCTGATCTGAAAAAAAAATTAAGGCTGATTTCCATTTTAATACAAATGGTGGTAAAAATCTGCAGGAATCAAGAGCAGCTTTGTTGTAACATGAGAAGGTACACTGAGCAATAAAATTAGGAGAGGACAAAAGAGGAAAAAAAAGGATGGGAAAAGGGGACAAAATTGGGAAAAAAAGTAGAAATGGGTTTCTTATACCCATTTCATATTATCACAAAATCACGGGATGGTTTGTGTGGGAAGGGACCTTAAAGCCCATCTGGCCCCACCCCCTGCCATGGGCAGGGACACCTCCCACTATTCCAGGTTGCTCCAAGCTCCATCCAACCTGGCCTTGGACACTTCCAGGGATCCAGGGGCAGCCACAGCTTCTCTGGGCAACCTGTGCCAGGAACTCAGCACCCTCACAGGGAAGAATTTCTTCACAATATCTTTTCTAAATATCTCCTCTCATAGTTTAAAACTGAACATTGTGATCCATCTCAGATACAGCCCATCATCTTTTATACATGTCCACAGTCATAAATGAGTTATTTTGTCTGCTCTGATTAATCAGTCAGATTGAGTTACTGATGGGTCCCAAAATGAACTGCAGTGGCCGACAGTTGTTCTCTGTCAGCCAATACAGATTGTTTTACTCTAGAGAGGTACGTGCATATATATTCTAGCTCTGTTTGTGCAATTCTTACATCATTCCACACCTCCCCAGCCCTTCCCAAACCCACCTGCTCCAGCCTCATTCTGCAACAGACAAATTTGGAATTTATTTCTGCAGTGAAAGGCTACATTAGCAATTTAGAATTTTGCTGTACTTATTTAGATGTTTAGGATTTTCTCTTGCTCAGGTGGAACATGTGCTTCTGCCCGGAGCTCAAGTGACACAGCTCTGCTGGTGACAGGTAGGTGACCAGTTGCTGCAGGTGGCACAACCAACTATTGCAGAAGAACCAATTCCCTTGGCAGCAACTAAAGTTACTGGAAGAAGAACTTGTTGGTGTTCCAGCCCAGCTACTCTCAGTCTGGGATGGGGGTCACAGAGGACCTTGGTTGTCATGCTGTGAGGGGCCAGGATCCAGGGGAGGTCACAGCTGGAATTGGGTGCCCTTCTCTCTCAAATGCCCCACAACCAGCATTTGGACTCTTGGGAGCCAACCCACTGCTCAGAGCTCTGCCCACACCACAGGCTCACCTGGCACTGCCACTCCTACATCTCCCTGTACCTCAGACAGGCAGGAAACACCTGTACTATGAATATACCACAATAAGCCTGGACTTCCCTGTGAGCTGCACTCCTGGCTCCCTCCTGTTACCAGACTCCAGTGACCACACCTGCGACCAAGGGGAAGGCATTAATTTTTAATTAAGTAGCCTTGGGTATTTAGACACTAGAAGATAAAATGGCAATTCAGCCAATGGCAGTGGTACTCACATGCTGGAATTCAGCACCTGAATCCCCTTGGTAACTGTAGTTCCAATGTTCTGGAATAACAATCATTTATCACAGGTGGAGTAAAACTTCAGGGACACAGACAAGAACTTCAAGTTAATGAGGAGAACGTATCCAAAATCCGCATTAAAACAGGAATATAATGTTTCCTGTAGTCCCACTGTAGCCTGGTAACACCTTCACGATGTCTCAGCAATAGTATCGCATGGAACTCTGCTTTCTTAAAGCAAAAACAAAACAAAAAAAGACCAATTATTCATTGAAGACAGCCTTACCAATAGGTGCTTTCCCTCTCAACACAGTGAACGCTGACTGAAAGACAAAGATTTTTTGTGGTGCAATATAAACTATTTATTAGCGCAATATTTACAATATTACATGGTAGGGAAGCTGTTATATATTGTAGCAGAGCCCACCTGTGTTTCAAATGCTTTCCTACTTGATTTTATCAAAAATAAACCACAATGGTTTTGTTTATTTACCCCAGAAGAGTCACAGAAATGAGTGGAAATCAGAATGAAGGGCTGTAAGATCTGTGAAGAGTTTGATCTCCACGGTCTTCAGAGAACAGTTACTTGCTCTGTTCAAAAACAATCCACATTTAGGTAGACTGCTGAAGAATCCTGGAATGGCTTGGAAGGGACCTTTTAAAGGTCATCCAGTTCCACTCTCCTGCCATAGGCAGGGACACCTTCCAGTAGACCAAGTTCCCCCAAGCCCCTTTCAACCTGGCCTTGGACACTTCCAGGGATGGGGTGGCCACAGCTTCTCTGGGCAACCTGTGCCGGGGCCTCACCATCCTCACATGGAAAAATTCCTTCCCAGTATCCCATCTAACCCTGCCCTCTGTCTGTGGGAAGCCACTGACCTTTTCCCTGTCACTCCAGGCCTTTGTCCCAAGTCCCTCTCCAGCTCTCCTGGAGCCCCTTTAGGCTCTGGAAGGGGCTCCAAGGTCTCCCTGGAGCCTTCTCTTCTCCAGGCTGAACACCCCCAGCTCACCCAGCCTGGCTTCAGAGCAGAGGGGCTCCAGCCCTCAGAGCATTTGCTTGGCCTCGCACCTGGCCTTGCTGAAATTCAGGAGGTTCCCCTGGGCCCTGAATATGTCTAAAACCACTCAAGTATTAGAATATTGCAGTTTTCTGTAATTTTTTTGTGACAATTCAAACAAGAAGCATGAACTGACATGTTCACTGTTCTCACAAGTGTGGGAGCAAACATGTCGTGCCCTTGTCTGGTGAGACTGGAAGGCAGATGGGTTGGATTCCCTTTCCTGTTGGCTTGTCCAGAGGAAAGGAGGATATTGTCCCATGCTGTGACTAAAGCATTTCCTCATATTTTGCTCTCCCTTGTTGTCCCTGCTCAGTCAGGGGCTGAGAGATGAGCTGTACTTCACCTGGCTGGAACATCTCCACATTCACTGCTCGGGGTTTTGGGAGGCCTTTGTTATCGGAAGACTCTGCAGCGCAGATTTACTGATGGTTCCATAGGCCTGGGAGTAGCTGCCCATCGATGCTCTTGGATCACCCGCAGCTCCCACATTTGCAGTGATCTGGAACATCTTTTTACTGGGCTTCAGAAGGGGACGAACATCTTTGCTGTGACACTGAGAGTTTCTGGGATTCTATGTGAGAAAGAAAAGCCAAGATAAGTTAGTAACTTTCTGAAACGCAAATAGGACACAGGTTTGGCTTTCGTCAGCATTACCCTCTCAGTGAACAAACACAAAGCTCAGAGCACATGTTGGCTGATCTTCTCCCTACTCTGCTCTTCCTGTCACAGAAAGTTGGTCACAATTCCCTGAAGATTTTTCCGAATTCATTGGTCATGTGTACACATGCATGCACATCAAGTTCCACAATCCCATTTGGGGATTGGCTCCTCTCACTCCCAAAACCTATCCATTTTGGACAGGATTCCAAAGTAGAGGGGTTGAAAGGTGAGTTGCAAGTGGGCTCCTGGACATGCTTGGAGTTTCTGGCAATGTGGGCTAATGAAAGGTGTCCCTGCCCATGGCAGAGGGGTGGAATGAGATGAGTTTTAAGGTCCCTGCCAACCCAAACCAGTCTGTGATTCTGTGATACTATGAATCTGTGGTGCCTCCTTCCATACTCTGCCAATAAGCTTCCTCTGATCACTGTGCAAGTGCCACAAGTCACCAGGCAACAGCCAGCCAACTCAGGAACAGAAAAAGCAGGAGGAAGAAGTAATTAAAGAACCCAGCGAGGGTAAGGACTTTTACAAGGAAGCATTGCCAAGAACCAGGAAGAGGGAGGAGCAGAGAGGACAGGACTGACACCTTGCTCAGTAACAGCAATCCATTAGAATCATGGAATCATCAAGTCACATAATCGTTTGGGTTGGAAAAGCCCTCTGAGCCCAAGTCCAGCTGCTCTCCAAGCACTGCCAAAGCCACAACTAACCCACATCCCCAGATGCAACATCCACATGGCTGTTAAACCCCTGCAGAGATGGGAACTCCACCACTGCCCTGGGCAACCTGTGCCAGGCCTGGTCAGCCCTTTCCATGAAGGAATTTTTCCCAGTATCCAACCTGAACCTCCCCTGGCACAACTTGAGGCCATTTCCTCTTGTTCTGTCCCTTGTTCCCTAGGAGCAGAGCCTGACCTCCACCTGGCTCCTCCCTCCTGTCAGGGGGTTGGAGAGAGTGAGAAGGTCCTCCCTGAGCCTCCTTTTCTCCAGGCTGAGCCCCCTCCGCTCCCTCAGCTGCTCCTGGTGCTCCAGCCCTTCCCCAGCTCCACTCTCTTCCACTGAGGAGCATGAAAGATGCGCTCCTCAATGTCTTTCTTGTCGTGAGGAGGCCAAAACTGTCCCCAGGACTGGAGGTGCCTCAGCAGTGCCAGCACAGGGGAGAGGCTCTGCCCTGGGCCTGTGGCCACACTGTGTCTGCTACAAGACAGGAGCCACTGGCTTCTTACCCACCTGGGCACACCCAGGCTCATGTTCAGCCCCCGTCACCAGCACCCCCAGTAACTTTTCCAGCTTTCCAGCCACTCTATCCCAAGCCTGGAGCACCGCAGGGAGTTGTTGTGACCCAAGTTACCACAGGTAAGGGTTAGAAGTTAAGCTACTCACATTATAAAGGTTCTGCACACTTGTAGGAGGGAGCCCAGTGTTTGTCCATGAGATTTGTCTCCCTAGTTTCCCATTGTTGGAGATTCTGGGCTGTTGAGGTGGTGCAGAAAAGTTCCTGATCCCAGCACCAAGATTTGCATTTCCTGCAGAAGGAAAAACATGAGAGAAAGTAAGAAAATCATGAGGACACAGAACACCCTGACTGAGGCAGGAACAGTCACACACCCAACACTCATTCAACAGTGTTTTGTTCTTATGTCATTTTCCTCCCACACTTTCACCCCCTCGTTTTACATGCAAATTCCCCTTACTTCTTTTACAGCATTCAGTCTCTCTTCTCTCTTTCCCACAACAATGCCCCATGGTGTGTCACATCCTGGTGTAGGAGGGTGGTACCTACTCTGCACAGTGGTGTGTGTGATGGGGTTGTACATCATCACACTGATCTGTGATCTCTGACACACAGTTCTGGCCAAATCCTTGCTCTGGCTGGATCCTGTTGGCTGGACTCCAGCTGTGGCTCCTGCATGCACATGTGAAGGGTTTAGGAGAGGAGGTGCTGGTTCTTGCTGGACTTTTCTGGTGGGTACAGTCACTGAGCTGAAATTTGGGAGAAGTGGGCTGGATTCAGACTGGCTCAGCTGAATGTTTTCTCTCCGCCCTCGCTCCTTTAGAAGGCTCCTTGATTTTTTTTCAAGGATCAACTGCAGAACAGAAAAGCTGGCTAGACTTAATGCAGCAATACAGCAGAGGAACAAAACATCAAAACAAAGAGGAATACTTGTAAATATCTGGAATTTATTTCACAGTAACAAGTATAATTTTGGAACTAGATGATCTTTAAGCTCCCTTCCAACCCAAACCATTCTGTGATTCTATGATTCTATGATTCTATGGCTGTTGGATCCAGCATAGTATATTTCCCTCTAACCCAGTCTTTCTCAGACATCATGCTTCAGAGACTTCTCCTTTCCCAAAGGGAATTTAGATTTAAAGGTCTCTCAAAGATTCTGACAGTATGGAACTGACCGACCAAACACTGAGGTGTAACCGTGTCAGCAGGTATGGACAGCCCAGGGAAATACAAAGACAAGACAACAGAATTTGTTAAGTGTGTGCAAGAATGGAAGGTTACCTGGAGGATTAGGATTTGGGAAAACAGGATGAAAGTACCTCATATAATTTATTTCGATATTCTGCCACAGACAGCTGGACATCATCACCCAAAGGAAGGACCACATTATAATCCAAAGAGGGCTCCCTGGAAGGACAGTGGAATCTAAAGAGATGAGAACAAATCATGTAATTCACTGACTGAAAGCAGCACCACAGACTAACACTATTTAAACAGGATTGTTAAACAATCTCATGTAAATAGAGTTGGAGAAAACAAAGAACTAGCTTTGGGGTTTTTTTCTATAATGCATTTAAAGAAGACTTGTGCCAGGAAGAGGTTTGTAATGTCTCAGAAGACATCAGGGGAAGCTGCACACTGGTGTCACTCTCACCTCTTCACATAAGGATGCTGCAGAGCCTCCTCTGCTGTGAGCCGTTTGTCAGGGTTAAATACCAGAAGTTTCTTCAGCAAATCCAAGGCAGGTAGTGGAGTAGAGGATGGGAAAATCTCCTCAAATGTTACTCGCTGCCTAGAAGACAGAAAACAATAATATGACGTCCCAGTGTCCAATTCCCAGTGAAGGCAGGAATGACAGTTACGGGGATCACGTCAAGGTGACATCTGACCCCAGAGTTCACTCACAAAGATAATCACTGAATCCTGGAATGGTTTGGGTGGGAAGGGACCTTGAAGCTCATCTCTTGCTAGCCCCACGATCCCACAAATTCAGACCTGAGACCACAGAAACACATTTCTGTGTAATTTGCAATGAGAAGATGAAGTTTGATAATCTGGTTTTGCATTTTGAAACCCTAAATATAATTGTGAACATAATCAACAAGAGAGTATCTTATACATTTGAAATATCAGTTTTAAAACCAAACCCAAATCTTACTTATATTTTAAATAATTTCTATTTAAGAAGAGACCTTAGAGACCCTTCCACTGCCTAAAGGAGCTCCAAGAGAGCAACTTTGGACAAGGGCTGGGAGTGACAGGACAAGAGGATGGGCTTCCCACTGGAAAAGTGGAGCCTAAAATGGGATATTGGGAAGAAATCCTTGCCTGTGAAGATAAGGAGTGACTGGAATGGATTTCCTGGAGAAATGGTGGCTGCCCCGCTCCTGGAAGTGTTCCAGGACAGGTTGGACAGGGCTTAGAGCAACCTGGGATAGTGGAAGGTGTCCCTGACCATGGCAGGGGGTGGCACTGGATGGTCTTGAAGGTCACTTCCCATCCAAACCATTCTGGGATTCCACGATTCCATGGTCATACAGTAGGGGATCTGAGACACCCACCCCCCCCCAGCTTACCGGGAACTCATGTGGTTAATAACTGAGGCCTTGTACTCTGATTGCAGAGCCAAAATATCTGCAATAATAAAAAAAAGGTACTGTTAATGCCAAGATGAGGATTACCTCAGAGAGCTATACAGTTTAGGAAGGAAAGCAAATATTATTTGATGTTAGCATAGAAAATTACTCTCATAACACATAATGGGAGATCTGTGGAAGGGGAATGGAATATTTACTTACAAATTTTCTAAGATTATTTCTGAATTTGTATCTATTAATCATAGACTTCACAAACCTCACTCTCACACCCACAGAGGCAGAGGCACCAAGATATCTGAATTTCTTATTTTCCTCTAACACTAACATTCACAATTAAGTCTCTAATTTCCTTGGAAAGGTGCCAGAATGACCTACAAGAGATACCTTCTCCTCTTATCCATCTGGGCTGCTTTCTTCCCCTCTTTAATCCCTTCTCTAAATCCCTTTGCCCGCAGCAGAGTCCTACCTTCTGGGGACGGAGCAGGGATGACCCTTAGGATCTGCTCTATTTGATTCATTGTTGATGTTCCAGGGAAAAGAGGTTTCCCAAGCAGCATCTCTCCCAGAACGCAGCCAATGCTCCACATGTCTACACCTTTAGTGTAACTACAAACAGGAATAGAACAGAGTTAGGATTAAATCAAGCAAGTATTTTCCTGTACCTGCTATTCACATCACCTACATTGATCTACTTTGCTGGAAAACATGCTTGGTGACTTCTCAGATACGAATGGTCACATTTGAACTATAAATTGAATGACATTTGGGAATCACGAGACTGGCAAGCATGAAACAGAAAAGAGATTTAGCCTACTCAAAGGCTCATCTAGGAAATATATAACAGAGAAATGCTAGAACAAGGCAATAGATAAAAGGTAATGCAAGAGAAAGGTAATATATCCTTTTCATATGACCAAGAACGAAGATACATGTTGATCTTTGGAAACAACTGACTTTTCAAGGCATAATGTATGTATAAAGTAGTAAAATTTACATTTTTAAGCAAAGTAAATACCAGACAATGGGTATAGGACAGTTTGAAAAACATCCACATTTAAATTTGGGATACTACCTCAGCCTCTATTTATTTACTTTTCTGATTTTTCATCTTTAAGTCAAAAAAAGGACTAAGCCTGACTAACAGGCAGCTGGTTTAATGTTTGATTACAGAGTATTTCCTGAAGACCTATCAAAAAACACTCCTTCAATTTTGAAAAGAGGACTTATGTTCTCAAGCAAATTTCGTAAAGATGTGGGTTTAAAGGGAGAAAAATAAGTCTAGTGGGAGAAAAGGTGACAAACAGATAAGCCGCTCACGTATGTATATGAACACTAAGAACACAGGAAGGATGTGTACATGTTAATGAGAGTTTTTATGTTGCAGAACTGAAGTCTAAATGTATATTGAGAAAACAGACTGACACGACATTGCATCCAGTGACATCCGAATCTGACACATTTAAGAGTCTTAGACAATCAATTTTGCCAGTGGTGAAAAAGTTACAGACCCCCATCCCTTTGCTCACCTGCGAGAGGCCAGTAAGATCTCGGGGGCGCGGTACCAGCGCGTGGCCACGTACTCGGTCAGCGCGGGGCTGGGCTGGTCCTCGCCCTGCTGGCACAGGGAACGGGCCAGCCCGAAGTCACACAGCTTCACACAGCACTCTGCATCCAGCAGGATATTGGAAGGCTGGATTGAACACAGGAGAATGAATTGGCTTTTGACTCTCTCAATAGCAGAAGAATATTATCAAGGTTCTTTTATTAGTCTCATGCTTGCATACTTTTTCACACTTTTCCTATGGAGCCAGGCTGGGAGAGCTGGGGGCGTTCAGCCTAGGGAAGAAGAGGCTCTTGGAAGACCTTAGAGCTCCTTCCAGTGCCTAAAGGGGCTCCAGGAGAGATGGAGAGGGATTTTGGACATGAGCCTGGAGGGATAGGAAAAAGGGCAATGGCTTCCCACGGACAGAGGGCAGGGTTAGATGGGATACTGGGAAGGAATTTTTCCATGTGAGGATGGTGAGGCCCTGGCACAGGTTGCCCAGAGAAGCTGTGGCTGCCCCATCCCTGGAAGTGTCCAAGGCCAGGTTGGATGGGGTTTAAAGCGACTTGGGACAGTGGAAGGTGTCCCTCCCCATGGCAGAGGAGTGGGACTGGATGACCTTTAAAAGGTCCCTTCCATCCCAAATCAGTCTGTGATTTTATTTAGTGTTTGACAGAAAACTGGACTGAAGGATACAATGACTGAAATGTACCTTCTGATCCCTGTGAATGACATTCCCCGAGTGGATGAATTTAGTTGCCTTCAGGAGCTGGTAGAGAATGTAACACTTGTGGATGTCTTTCAGCAAATTCCCCTTCTTAATAACAGCATGTAAATCTGTCTCTGTAATATATTACAGCAGTAATATATTTACATCAGTAAAGATCAGTAATATCATGAATGTTCATGTAAATCACCAGCACGCCACTATCAAAGTGGGAATAAGGATAACTCCAAAGAGAGGCTGGATTTGAGTGGCTGCTGCAATGCTGAGTCTCACCCATGGACTCGAAGATGAGGTAGATATCCTTGTCATTCTCAGCTTGGATAACATCGAGCAGCTTGATGATATTTGGATGTTCTCCAAATTCCTGTGCAGGGAAGAGACCCAACTGTCAAAATCACATGTTTTGCTTGTGAATCATAAAAAGGGACAATAACCTATATCAGTTTGTATTATTGTCTAGAACAAACATTAACATGCTGTTTCCTCGATTAGGCTTCTTCTCAAATAAACTGGAAAAAAGAATTTAAGCTTGTTCCATAGTATGAAACCAGCCAGTTAATCTGAAAAATAATCTCTGTTGACTGAAACATTGGTTCTAAAACTCCCTCTAATACCACTTAAAACAAAATCCGGTCCCCTTTATGCACCTCTTATTTCCTACTGATTCAAAGAATTATCGTGGTGTGAAAATAGATCATAGTGTCCATCAACATTCATAGTTAAAAACCCAAACAGCCATAACATGCCCACCTGGGGGCTGGCTGGGACATTCACAGGCTGTATTGAGAGATCAGACAGCTCAGATACCTGAACACAGGTGTCTCACACTGGAGGTGGAGTTCATGCTTGCATTTGCAGATTGGCAATCCTGATGGGATCATTCAATTCATCCCCAGCTTTAACAGCTTTTATTTCCCAGAGTCAACACTTCTGTGCAACCAGAGACACTGCAAACACTTCATAACACACCAATGTTTTCATGAACTACTGTGAGAACAAAATTATAAACTGCTGCACCATAAAACCTGTGCTTGTATCTAAAATACATAAATAATTTATTTGAACCAATATTATAGACTCTTTACCTATTTCCATCACAGATTCAGTTATAAACAATATAAAAAATCCTAATAATAAGCTATCCCCAGCTTACAACAGGATCATCTTCCTACACTCTGAGGCCAAAACAAAACTTGGTTATAACATGTGACATCTAGAAAGTCCACAAGTCAACACATTCATGTGCAACAACCTGTGAAAACACACTCACAAAGCAGTGATACACAGCCAGACCATCACACATCTCGTGTCCACTCTCAGGACAAGAGACACAATGTCCATCCAAATGATCTAAAGCAGGTTTTTACCCTAAAGAGGATATTGTTCTAGAGATGCAGATCGGTTTAGACAGTGTTACTTGAGTCCAATTTAAAGAAAAACACCACTGTCTCACACTGCCTTGGCCTAGAACTGATAAGGGAAAGTCATGAAAAAATTTCAATCTATACTAAAAAACATGTTACCTTGAAAAAAACCTCCTCGGGGCCAGTCCTGTTAATCTTTGCTTATGGTGCTGTCACTAAAGTACTTACCAAAAACGACATTCTAAAAGTGGCCTAAAATACACCAGTAGATCTGCAACTACACTTAACAGCAAACACAAAACCTGCAAGCAATGACCAGCACACTGCAGAGCACCAGAAAATCATCCAAATCCCAGATTCTACAGCAACTTCTCAATTACAGTAATTGAGATATATAAAACAATAATCCAGTTCATCAAATGCCCTTGTGATTAACACAGAGATTAAACAAAGTAATTATTACGCATAGACAAACAAATTAAGACAAATATCCAGTTACAAATAACAGAATATTTCTTAAATCTTTTCCTTTCTGATCCCTCAGTCTTGAACCTCAAGAAAGATGTATAAAATAGGAGGGGTAACTAAAATTCTTTAGTCTGTTGAGCCCCAAAAGTCATAGAAGTACAGGCTGAACAGCACATTAACTTCCCTCCCCAGCCCCTTGCTGCCAAATGACTCCATCTTTCCTTCAGAAGAAATATCCTTCTTTTCCCTGTTCCTCCTCCACCCATCTGCTCCAGAAGTGCTGCACTTTCAGAGATGATCTAACTTACAGGTAATTCACTTCTAAGGAATTGTTTATATTTTTAGCTTTTCAGTTTGCAGCTTCTATTTCAGGCTTCAAGAATGACTAAAAAGTAAAAAACCCTCATCTCTTTACTAAAAGTTGGCAGTCTTAGGAAATACCTATTCCATGAGCCCTGTCTCACTTGTGTCCTTAGAAATAACATTATTTCAAAATATTGATGTTTCTACATAGTTAGTCTGAAGAGGAGTGGACAAATAACTATAATGCCACTGATAACGTCAATTATATCACAAGAGCAGCTTTAAGTTACTCCTTGCATATCTTCCCTTTTTATTTTGCTTTGATTATTTTAAGTGATCAAATTGCTTCCCATATGATGGGGAAAAGCAAATTTGGCATCCCCCACTCCAGGCCCCCTCTGATCATGGCAGTTACAATGTAAGAGAAACAGTTTACGTCCATAAAGAAGCAAGAAGTGACAGAAAGTGGAAGTCTACCTGTTGATGCTGCAGGAGACACATTGCTAAAAACATGGAAAGAGCAGGAAAGAGTAAAAACAAGCGCAAATGGAGAGTGTTCCATTCAGGTGGGTCTGCCCTGAAAGGCTCTTTGCCAAGATGGTGCAGAAAAGAAATTAAAGAGTTGTCAACACTAATCATTGATCACTGCATTTTGGAAAACAACGGGAAGAAAATATATGGACATCAGAGATAATAAAAAATCAGAGTGGAGGAGGAACATGGACATTACCTGCAGGAACATAATCTCTCGAAATGTTCTCTGGAAATAAAGAAAAAGTAGTTTATTATCACCTCAAGAGAATGGAAGGGGATGCACTTCAATGAGAGGGTTAAATCCACTCCTCTTTTGTAGATGCCATGATACACAAAGCCTGACATTTATTGTTCCTTTTTATCCCAATATAGCTGCAGACTGTATTATTACATGCATAATTATCATCTTTCAGAGACAAAACTCTTGAAAATACCTATGGAATACCACCACATCTCACAACACATCAGGACAATGATTTCTCACCTGAGCATCCGTCCTGTTCCTGAAAGCATCAAAAATCTTTTTAACAGCAACTATTTCTCCTGTCCTGCGGTCGATTGCTTTCCAGACGATGCCGTAGGCCTGGGGAGAAATACAGACAGGTGAGCAGTGTGCTGACACCCTGTCCCAGCTCAGGCCTGCAGCGGAGCCAGAATGGACTCAACAAAGGACTGGAAGAGAGGTGATCACTGGCTACCTGGAAGAGAGAGAGAGAGATCAGACCCCTCTGCTCTGGAGCCAGGCTGGGAGAGCTGGGACCTTCCAACCTGGAGAAGAGAAGGCTCCGGGGAGACCTTAGAGCCCTCCCAGTGCCTAAATGGGCTCCAGGAGAGCTGGAGGGGGACTTTGGACAAGGGATGGAGGGACAGGACAAGGGGGAAGGGATTCCTACTAGAAAAGCAGGGATATACATGGGATATTGGGAAGAAACCTTTGCCTGTGAGTGTAGGGAGAGACTGGAATGGATTTCCTGGAGAAACTGTAGCTGCCCCATCCCTGGAAGTGTCCAAGGCCAGGTTGGATGGGGCTCTGAGCAAACTGGTCTAGTGAAAGGTGTTCTTGCCTATGGTGAGGGGATGAAATGAGATGATCTTTAAGGTTACTTCTCACCCAAACCATTCTGTGGTTCCATGATTCTGTGGATGGAGACCGGCCCTGAGAAGAAGGACTTGGGGGTGCTGGTGGATGAAAAACTGGACGTGAGCTGACAACATGCACTAGCAGCCCAGAGAGTCAATCATGTCCTGGGCTGCATCAAAAGAAGGACAATCAGGGGATCAGGCCCAGCCAGCCTGGGCTGGGTACTGCCTGACTAACCTGATCTCCCTCTGTGACAGGGTTACCCCCTCAGTGGCTGAGGGAAAGGCTGTGAATGTGTCTGCCTGGACTCTAGTAAAGCTCTGACAGCATTTCCCACAACATTCTCCAGGAGAACCTGGCTGCTCCTGGTCTGGACAGGTGCACTGTTTGCTCGGTAACACCCGGCTGATGGCTGGTCCCAGAGAGTGGTGGGAAACGGGGCTGGGCACTAGTGGGGTTCCCCAGGCTCAGTACTGGAGTCAGCCCTGTTTAATGTCTTTATTGACTCTCTGGATGAGGGGATTGAGGGCACTTCAGTCAGTTTGCAGAGGACACCAGACTGGGTGGGAGTGTGGATCTGCCAGAGGGCAGAAACCTCTACAGGGGTGCCTGGGAAGGCTGGATCAATGGGAGGGAATCGATGGGCCAAAGCCAATGGTGTGAGGATCCACAAGGTCAAGTGCTGGGTCCTCCCCTTGGGTCAGAACAAGCCCATGAAATGCTCAAGCCTTGGGACAGAGCAGCTGGAAAGCTGGAAAAGAACCTAGAGGTGCTGGTGACAGTAGCTGAACAGGAGCTCAGGTGTACCCAGGTGGGCAAGAGGCCAATGGCACCTGGCCTGTGCCAGCAACAGTGTGGCCAGCAGGTTGAGAGGTAATTCTTCCCCTGTACTCAAGTTTGGTGAGATCCCACCTGGAGCACTGCATCCAGCTTGGAGCTCCTCAGTACAAGAAAGACATGGACCAGCTTGAGCAGGTCCAGAGGAGGTCATGGAGATTTTCCGAGGGCTGGAGCCCCTCTGCTCTGGAGCCAGGCTGGGACAGCTGGGGGTGTTCACCTGGAGAAGAAAAGGCTCCAGGGAGACCTTACTGTGGCCTTTCAATACTTAAAGGGGGCTGAAAAGAAGGATGGAGAGAGACTTGTTACCAACATCTGTAGTAACAGTATCACAGCATCACAGAATTGCTGAGGTTGGAAAAGGCCTCCGAGACCATCGCGTCCAACCGCTAACGCAGCACTGCCAGGTCCAACATTAAACCTTTTTTTTTTTTAATTAAAAACTGTACTATCTATTAGGGGAATGGGAACTTCTACCAGAGTTTTCCCTGTTCTGGATGACTGTGATACTTGCAAACAGTGATTGCTCAGTCTTACTTGTGGTAAAGATCCCATTTTCTTATTTTAGGTCATGGATTTGCACCTTGACTTTCCACATTCTAGGAGCTGCTTTACCTCTGCACGAAGGGATCATGCCTCACTCAGAAATGCCCAGTTAATGTTTACTTGTACAAAGTAAAACAGCTGCAATGTGTGATAGTGAGTGACTCTAGCGATTAAACACTCTTACAGTGAGTATCATGACATTGAGGCAGACTTCCCAGGAACACGTGTGGTCCTGGAGCATAGGTTCAGGACATTTGCCATGCATCAGGCAGTTGTACAAGTACCTCAGGTAAGTGCTACAGTACTTCCCTGTTGGCAACTGGGATTTATCTTTTTTCTCCAAGTGACATGACAAGAGGGAATAGCCTCAAATTGTGCCAGGGAGGTTTAGGTTGGACATGGAGAAAATTCCTCATGGAAAGGGCTGTCCAGCCCTGGCCCAGGCTGCACAGGGCAGGGGTGGAGTTCCCATCCCTGGGAGGATTTAACAGTCGTGTGGATGTGGCACTTGGAGACATGGGTTAGTGGAAGCCTTGGCAGTGCTGGGGGAGTGGTTGGACTCAATGGGCTCAGAGGCTTTTCCAACCCAAATGATTTCATAATTCTATGAAGTAAATGGCCCTCTCTCACATGACCCCTTGTAATTGCACATGAAATACTTAAACACTCATATCAGTGCAACTAAACAACGACAAAGAGCTGCCAGAATAGAAATGCAGATGATTGAGGAGGGTTTGGAGACTGTCTGAGGAGAAATATCTTAGAAATTACCACTGGCTCATGTACAGAAATATATTTCACGGAGAAGATGACTTGATGCAGCATGACCTGTGAAGTGAGAGGGTTACAGGAACTGCAGAAAGATTTGGCAGGCACAGAGAGAATGTACTTTGAGACTCGGATCCATTTTACCATTTACTCCCGAGCTCCCATGCCCCTCCCCCCGAGTTCCCCCGGGTCACCTGGAGCTCCCACGGAGCCCTGAGCTGCAGACAGGGTCCCTGAGCTCCCACAGGCACCTGAACTCGCCTGGGGCCCCTCAGCTCCCCGGGCCACCTGGAACTCACACAGGGCCCTGAACTCCACACGGGCCCGACGAGCTCCCATGGGCCCCCGGGCACTCACCCCCTTGCCCAGGCGCCTCTTGATCTCGTACTTCTGGCACACGAGCGGCTCCACTTCGGGCGGGCTCATGGCGGCGCCTCCCTGTTGGCTCCCGCTGCCATGGAAACGGCCCCGCGCCCCGCGCACGCGCAGCGGTACCGCGGGCGGCCGCC